TTTTTTTCTATAGATTTATATTATGCTATATTTTTCTAAGAAAAGAATATACTGACTGTACATGATTGAAAGTATCAAGGATCACATTGAGAGCTTATAATCAGGATTAAACATAAATGATAGAAAAGACGAGTACCTGGCACGTTATTAACATAACACCCGTCGACCAAAAGATGCCCATCAAGGGGATCGCAAATTGGAGGAAAGACCCCCGCGATAGTCATACTGCTGCGAATATATCTCCATAGTAAACCTGAGCGAACTTAACTATTCAGAATTTGATAACTGCATCTTTTATCAACGGGAGTGAGCTTGAGGTTTCTCGTGATTTCATACTTGTATACAACTTGTGTTTCAGTAACATTTATAAATAAATCAACATTGTGCCAAGGTAAATATGAAATAATACAGAACCCAACTAAAATTAGATAACCAATTGATTAAAGTTCAAAGAAGAATTAGTATTTTGTCGTAAAATAAATATACGATCAATATAATTTTCACGATAAATATTGTTTTCACGATAAATTGCCAAATTATATAATTTATATGCATTTATAAAATTATTAGCACAGATTTTGTTATGTAAGATAAAAAATGTAAATTTCTAATGGTGCCTCCAAAATAAATTTCATATTATCTTGACAATATAGTGTTTTGCTTTAAATTCTACACTGACCATGCAAAGATTGCCGTTCATCAGTGCGATTTGAATTACCTGGAAGGTTATTGACGTACCCGCCGTCGAGCAGGAGATGGCCATCAACGGGGTCACACATGGGTGGCATATAACCAGACAATGACATCGAGGCCCGAATGTACCGCCACAGCGATCCTAAAGAATCATTCTTTTTAATATTCTACATTTACCGGTATACATTATCCGAAATACTTCCTGTGTTCTTAAGTACTTTCTGTATTTTTAGTACTAATTGTAATTAATTAAATTTTCTTTCTGTATATGAATTTATGTATATGTAATAAGAAACATCACATTAATCAAAATTGATTGAAACTGCAACAATATTGATGATTAGAGTCCGATCGAAACTTTTACCGAAACTGAAAACGAACACTCATTACATGTCAGTTTTGACTGAAACCATATAGCTCTTCTTCATAAATATTAATTTTAATATGTGTAATTATTGTTTCAATAATTAAATTATGATATTTATGAAGAAGAAATACTTATATTCTTTGATACACAAAATTGACTCAAATTTCGGTTTTCGATTTCGGCCAGAATTTAATTATTGTTTCAATAAATTATGACATTTATGAAGAAAAAATATATGATATATGAACATGTCTATACAAATGGCCTTTATAGGATTTCTATTTTTTAATTTTGTTTTCGGTTGAAATTGGCATATAATCGAGTGTTTCCGTTTAGTTTCGGCAAAAGTTTTAGTCGGACTCTACTGATGATATAAAACAATGTTAATAATAATATTACGAAATCTTTAGATTTTTAGATGTTTTCACATTTTCAGTCTATTCATATTGAATATTTAATCTTTTTTCTATTTAAGAACAATTAATGGTATATTGTACTTTATTTTTATTTATAAATTTTTAAATAGTAATTTTTGGAGTAAAATTGAGAGCAATATTTTTTCCATATTATAATTTTAATATTAAAAGCATACAGGAAGTATATGCATTAATTCACGATTTTTATATATTTGAGTGAAAATAAAAATATGTCTCATTCGGGTTTTTCTTTAAAAATGACATTAAACGGAGAGTACGTCAACAATAGTTATCAAAAAGCTCACTCCCGTTCGTTAAAGCTTCTACTATCATGCTAATGTGCACATCTAAAACAAAAACAAGTTTACATGCCATGAAGCCACAAAGCTATTGGTGTGAATCAAGAAAGAACGATGCCTCGTATGTTTTTATTTTTCATACAGACATCCAAAGTCGATTGCCGAAATAATTTTAGATATCTATAGAATGAAATACATCTCTTACGTATTTGTTTTTTGATTCACTCTAATATAGATATATTGCTATTATTTTTTAATAACATATCAAAGCTTCTAATTATATTTGGCTGCATTATCACTTGCAGAATCTTTGAGACATCAAAAAAGTGTACCGTCATAACAATTTTTATTTATTGTACAATTTTACATTTAAAAATCATAAATAAATAAAACAATGGACGAATGTATGAAAATTAAATCAAACTAGAAGCTTTGTTAATATTTAGAAGAAAATTCAAGGCACTATATTTGTACAGACCGTGTCTATGCGTGCGCATACAGGAGTCCGTGATGTCTGTGGTTATAGTGAAATATGGGAGCCACAAGTCCTCTATATATGTGTCGCCGAAAGTCTGCTGTATCGTTTTATTAAAATCTCTACCAGAGAACATAGAAGTCATTGGATAAGTTAAGTCCATAATCTGCCGCCACCATTGAGTCATTTTCTATCGGAAAATAAATATAGTATTTTTGTATATAAACATTTTTCGATTCGATGGTAAGGCTTTCTAAGCAGTTATTAAGATAAAGACGAAATAAATCTATATATTTCAGAATATAGATATTTGGAAAAGAAAAAAAAATTATAATTTGGTGGTAGATTTACACAGATTTACATATTATACTCTAGAAATCTAATAATAATAAAAAAAATCCAAAGTGATAATGGGAATGAAGAAATCTATTTTATCTCACCTTGGACCACTCTCTAGCCTTTTGTGTGGTAGTAGTAATGTTCTTTTCCATACACCACAGAGCACCCATAAAGGCGCCGATGCTGACACCACCAACCATATCTATAGGTATACCTGCTTCGATGATAGCTTTCAGCATGCCCACGTGAGCAGCGCCTCTTGCACCACCTCCACCTAGAACAAGACCGACCGAGGTGCCAGTCAGCCACCGCGCTAGTCTACTGAAGTCGCTGTGTACGTTTGGCTCAGACATAAGCACTTTGGAGTATAATTCGTTCTGCAATGTAATATATTTTAGATTAGAATAGTTACTCTTTTCTTTCGTTAATACTTGTAATAAATTAATTCTTTTACTAATAGATTAATAAAATAAAACAAATCGTAGGAAATTCAG